TCCCCTATCTGAACCCTGTGCAAACTCCTGATCCAAAGAATTGTAAAAATTATAAATCACTGCTGTAGACAATTGAAACAGACACTATCAAGCTCATGATATCAGCAAATTACAAACACCAAGTGTCAAATTTGGGTCCATGTTTTCTAGCTTATAAGTTTTCATTTTTCAGTAAGAAGAAAATGAAAACATATAAATTGTATATCTTAACTAGATGCACTTATACAAAGAACAATGAACCTAGGACTATAGTTTCAAATATTATTTTAGAAATTTTTAGAAAATGCACATCACTTAAATGATGCTTCTTACAGACTGATTCTATACAGACAAATAACATATCATTAAATCAGAACTCAGGACAGGCCTTTTCATGTCAGAGAGACTAAGATGATGTGGTCTTGATACTTTTGTTCTCTGAAGACTTAATACAAGAAACTACATGAACTCATAATTAGATATTCATTAGACTGTCTGTCTCATATCTGATGTGGATTTTTTTGCAGTAAGTAAGCTTTTTTTTTTTAAGAGATGGGATCTTGCTCTGTCGCCCAGGCCAGAGTACAGTGGTACAATCATAGCTTCAGTGAACTTTTGGTAGACACTAAATAGCTGTCAGTTTGTGATTAAATCTAATAAAAACAGGCTGGGTATGGTGGCTCATGCCTATAATCCCAACACTTGGGGAGGCCAAGGCAGGCAGATCACTTGAGGTCAGGAGTTCAAGACCAGCCCGGCCAACATGGTGAAACCCCATATCTACTAAAATACAAGAATTAGCTGGGTGTGGTGGCTCACACTTGTAATCCCACCTACTCAGGAGGCTGAGGCAGAAGGATTGCTTGAAACTGGGAGGCAGAGGGTGCAGTGAGCCGAGAACATGCCACTGCACTCCAGCCTGGGCAAGAGAGTGAGACTCCAACTCAAAAAAACAAATAAATCTAATAAAAACACAGAATAAATATTCTATAAGGCCGGTTAAATTTAGAGCCATATACATAAAGAACACAAGTATCTACCTCTCCCCACAAACTGTTCCCTCTGAGATCACCAACATTCTTTAATGCTATATCCTATGTAAATACCTTGGTCCTTGACTGATCTCAAATAGAATCTATACAAATAACCATTCCCTCTCAGTCACCAAGTGCAGCCCATACTCAAGGGGGTTGTAGGAGGTGGGAGGTTAAGTTCCACTTCCTTGAGGAGGGAAGTGTCTGCACAAATTATTTGGAATTCTTCTGTACAAGATAAATAAATAAGTGGGGACAGTTATTTATTTAACCATTTATTTTAATCAGTGTGGACTTACGGATATTTATTTTATGCTTTGGGTCATAATCCAATAATATGATATTATTTATTTTATTGCTCAAATTGTTCTAGCTTCAGTCATTGGGTGCTCTTTTAGTTGGTTCCTCTATCCCTTTGCCAATCCCCTGTCCTTTTGCATTTTGCATATTTTCTTATTTTCTGGCACTCTACAACGTTCCAGGTTCATCTTGCAAATTCCCTGCCCCAGCCCTAGAATCAGCCATTTTCCAAGGAGCCTTAGTTCTTTCTATTGGAGAATGGTATGAGAAACCAAGATCTGATGCTGGGTGTGCTCATGCTACTGGGTTGTCACTGCTCCTAGGCCCTCTCAGCAGACAGAGCTAGTAAATAAATGTATGTATACGACGCTATGTATACATACATATCTGTAGTTATTTCTGAATCTGTATCAATATTAAGGTAAATGTTTGTTCAATGCTTATGTTTCAAACTCTAATTCAGTACCACGTGGTTCATTCTAGCCTTCCTAAAGAAGAATCAAATAGACGCAATAAAAAATGATAGAGGGAATATCACCACCAAGCCCACAGAAATACAAACTACTATCAAAGGATACTACAAACACCTCTATGCAAATAAACTAGAAAATCTAGAAGAAATGGATAAATTCCTGGACACATACACCCTCCCAAGACTAAACCAGGAAGAAGTTGAATCTCTGAATAGACAAACAACAGGCTCTGAAATCGAGGCAATAATTAATAGCCTGCCAACCAAAAAAAGTCCAGGACCAGATGGATTCACAGCCGAATTCTACCAGGGGTACAAAGAGGAGCTGGTACATCCCTTCTAAAACTATTCCAATCAATAGAAAAAGATGGAATCCTCCCTAACTCATTTTATGAGGCCAGCATCATCCTGATACCAAAGCCTGGCAGAGACACACACAAAAAGAGAATTTTAGACCAATATCCCTGATGAACAACAATGTGAAAATCCTCAGTAAAATACTGGTAAACTGAATCCAGCGGCACATCAAAAAGTTTTTCTACCACGATCAAGTTGGCTTCATCCCAGGGATGCAAGGCTGGTTCAACATATGCAAATCAATAAACATAATCCTTCACATAAACAGAACCAATGACAAAAACCACATGATCATCTCAATAGATTCAAAAAAGGCCTTCAACAAAATTCAACAGCCTTTCATGCTAAAAGCTCTCAATAAACTAAGTATTGATGGAATGTATCTCAAAATAATAAGAGCTATTTATGAGAAACCCACAGCCAATATCATACTGAATGGGAAGAAACTGGAAGCATTCCCTTTGAAAACGGGCACAAGACAAGAATGCCCTCTCTCACCACTCCTATTCAACATAGTGATGGAAGTTCTGGCCAAGGCAATCAGGCAAGAGAAAGAAATAAAGCGTATTCAATTAGGAAAAGAGGAAGTCAAATTGTCCCTATTTGCAGATGACATGATTGTATATTTAGAAACGCCCATCGTCTCAGCCCAAAATCTCCTTAAGCACTAAGCAACTTCAGCAAAGTCTCAGGATACAAAATTAATATGCAAAAATCACAAGCATTCCTATACACCAATAACAAACAGAGAGCTAAATCATGAGTGAACTCCCATTCACAACTGCTACAAAGAAAATAAAATACCTAGGAATTCAACTTACAAGGAATGTGAAGGACCTCTTCAAGGAGAACTACAAACCACTGCTCAACGAAATAAAAGAGGACACAAACAAATGAAAGAACATTCCATGCTCATGGATAGGAAGAATCAATATCGTGAAAATGGCCATACTGCCCAAAGTAATTTATGGATTCAATGCCATCCTCATCAAGCTACCAATGAGTTTCTTCACAGAATTGGAAAAAACTACTTTAAAGTTCATATGGAACCAAAAAAGAGTCCGCATTGCCAAGACAATCCTAAGCCAAAAGAACAAAACTGGAGGACCTGACTTCAAACTATACTACAAGGCTACAGTAACCAAAACAGCATGGTACTGATACCAAAACAGATATACAGACCAATGGAACAGAACAGAGGCCTCAGAAATAACACCACACATATACAACCATCTGATCTTTGACAAACCTGGCAAAAACAAGAAATGGGGAAAGGATTCCCTATTTAATAAAAGGTGCTGGGAAAGCTGGCTAGCCATATGTAGAAAGCTGAAACTGGATCCCTTCCTTATACCTTAAACAAAATTTAATTCAAGATGGATTAAAGATTTAAATGTTAGACCTAGAAGAAAACCTAGGCAATACCATTCAGGACATAGACATGGGCAAGGACTTCATGACTAAAATACCAAAAGCAACGGCAACAAAAGCCAAAATTGACAAATGGGATCTAATAAAACTAAAGAGCTTCTGCATGACAAAATAAACTACCACCAGAGTAAACAGGCAACCTACAGAATGGGAGAAAATTTTTGCAATCTACCTATCTGACAAAGGGCTAATATACAGAACCTACAAAGAACTCAAACAAATTTACAAGAAAAAAATAACCCCATCAAAAAGTGGGCAAAGGATATGAATAGACACTTCTCAAAAGAAGGCATTTATGCAGCCAACAGACACATGAAAAAATGCTCATCATCACTGGTCATCACAGAAATGCGAATCAAAACCACAATGAGATAGCATCTCACACCAGTTAGAATGGCGATCATTAAAAAGTCAGGAAACAACAGATGCTGGAGAGGATGTGGAGAAATAGGAACACTTTTACACTGTTGATGGGAGTGTAAATCAGTTCAACCATTGGGGAAGACGGTGTGGCGACTCCTCAAGGATTTAGAGCTAGAAATACCATTTGACCCAGCCAGCCCATTACTGCGTATATACCCAAAGGATTATAAATCATGCTGCTATAAAGACACATGCACACATATGTTTATTGCGGCACTATTCACAATAGCAAAGACTTGGAACCAACTCGAATGTCCGTCAATGATAGACTGGATTAAGAAAATGTGGCACATATACACCATGAAATACTAGGCAGCCATAAAAAAGGATGAGTTCGTGTCTTTTGCCGGGACATGGATGAAGCTGGAAACCATCATTCTCAGCAAACTATCACAAGGACAGAAAACCAAACACCGTATCTTCTCTCTCACAGGTGGGAACTGAACAATGAGAACACCTGCACACAGGGCAGGGAACATCACACACCGGAGCCTGTCAGGGGGCAGGGGGCTGGTGGAGGGATAGCATTAGGAGAAATACCTAATGTAAATGACGAGTTGATGGGTGCAGCAAACCAACATGGCACATGTATACCTATGTAACAAATCGGCACATGTACACATGTTCACATGTACCCTAGAACTTAAATAGAAAAAAAAAAAAGAAAATGGCCTCCAGCTCCACCCAAGTTGCTGCAAAAGACATTATTTTTTTCTTTTTATGGCTGAGTAGTATTCCATGTTGTATATATGCCACATTTTCCTTATCTACTCATTGGCTGATGGGCACTTTGGTTGGTTTCATATCTCTCCAATTGTGAATTGTGTGGGAGTGCAAATATCTTTACAAGGTGGTGATTTCATCTCCTTTGCATATATAACCATAAGGGGGATTGCTGGGTCGTGTGGTAATTCTATTTTTAATTTCTTTAGGAATCTCCATACTGTTTTCCATAATGGCTGCACTAATCTAACATTCCTACCAACAGTGTACAAAGGTTCCCTTTCCTCCACACCCTTGCCAACACTTATTATCTCTTGCCTTTTTAATAATAGCTATCCTAATGGGTGTGAGGTGGTACCTAATTCACTATGGTTTTCAACTAAGCCAGTCCAGCACAGTCACTCTAGATAATCTTGCACTTTAACACTCAGAACGCTATAAGAGCATTTTTTATTGTGAGGCTATAATACTGCTGATATGAGGCTATAAAGAAGTCTGATATGTAAGAAATCCCCATAAGACTTTGGCCACATAGTAATCAACCCCTTTTAAAAGGTATCTTCTATTCTAAATATTCATGAATACATTTTCCTCTCCTCACTCTTCCCCTTCAAGACATTTCTCACTGTTTCTCTTCTCTACCAGCACTGAAGAGATCTCCAAAGGTCTTATATACCTAAGTCTAAATGTATGTGGACTCTGGGCTTTGCCATTTTAAAGTACTGAACAAAATAAAAGGAAAATACAAATGAAGTGGACTGCATATTGTTTGTTTAATTTGCATATAGATGATGAACTAGTGGGAAGAAGCTATGTGGAAACGGCAGGTAAATTAAGAATAATTATCCTCAGCAGAAAAAAGAATACAAAAGTTACCTGAAAGGCAAGATGATCAAAAGTCAAAAATCCGAAACACAGACCCAGGACCACATTATTGCAAAAGTGTGTAAGAAACAGGTTTTTCCACTCATCACATTTGTCTTTATTTCTCAAAATAAAATACCTGTGATTAGCTAAAATTCCACAGCATTAGTCACAATAAAGATTCTCACTAAAACATTCCAACATAAATGGGAAGGCAAATGTAACTATTAAACCAGTGATTCTTCTCTAGCTCTTAACACTAAACAGATCGATCATTTTTTGCTTAAATCAAAACTGCACTGAATATCTTCTGTCCAACACTCTTTCAGATATTCTGCTCACCGACAGCTAAAAGACGTACAAATGTGATGCCAGAAAAAAAAGCTACTGTCAACTCTAAACCTGGAAATCTTTGGTTGCAACTCTTTGGATGCACTTTGCAATCTTTGATCTGAATCTATTTAATAAAATGCTATTTCTGAGAAGTCGTAGAGAATTTGGTGGTTCATGGTATGTTGGACCGAAAATTTATAAAAAAAAAAATTGAAAACCACTTTTTTAAAATCTGAAATATACTAAAAGTAAAGAATGTGTGGCGGTTAGTAGTCGCTGCTGTGCGGCCGCCAGCAGGATTGGTCTGAAGAGACGCGGGGACCAAGTGGCAGCGACTCGGACATCTGGGCTGTCACTGCCGAAAACAGGCCACAAGAGAGATAATCAATATGCGTTTCCAAGCCTTTTGGCTATGCTTGGGTCTTCTGTTCATCTCAATTAACGCAGAATTTATGGATGATGATGTTGAGATGGAAGACTTAGAAGAAAATTCAGAAAAAACTGATGTTAATGAAGGTGAACTTTCCTCAGAGATTAAATATAAGACACCTCAACCTATAGGAGAAGTATATTTTGCAGAAACTTTTGATAGTGGAAGGTTGGCTGGATGGGTCTTATCAAAAGCAAAGAAAGATGACATGGATGAGGAGATTTCGATATACGATGGAAGATGGGAAATTGAAGAGTTGAAAGAAAACCAGGTACCTGGTGACAGAGGACTGGTATTAAAATCTAGAGCAAAGCATCATGCAATATCTGCTGTATTAGCAAAACCCTTCATTTTTGCTGATAAACCCTTGATAGTTCAATATGAAGTAAATTTTCAAGATGGTATTGATTGTGGAGGTGCATACATTAAACTCCTAGCAGACACTGATGATTTGATTCTGGAAAACTTTTATGATAGAACATCCTATATCATTATGTTTGGACCAGATAAATGCGGAGAAGATTATAAACTTCATTTTATCTTCAGACATAAACATCCCAAAACTGGAGTTTTTGAAGAGAAACATGCCAAACCTCCAGATGTAGACCTTAAAAAGTTCTTTACAGACAGGAAGACTCATCTTTATACCCTTGCTTTACTTTTCTTGGCAACAACACTGAATACCTAACTGCTATTGCCCTGCTGCTATCGAAAAATCAATCCACGCGCCTGGCGGCTGCTCGTTTCAGCGTGCTGCCATTCCCTGTCTTTAATACCTCGGTCCTCACCCTTCACTCATTCGCTGGCTATCTCTATTTTCCAATCCTCCAACCATTCTACGCCCAGTGATCCTGCTACTCTTTTCCGAACGATACATAAACTTATCAAAGTAGACTATCAGCGGAGTCTAGACCAACGCTCTAAACCAAAAGAGCACTAAAAGAAGTCAGCAAGAACCTGGATGATCATCTTCGAAATAATCTGGATTAGAATTTTTTGAGGACTCCCGCGTTCCCTGGTAGTTATGGATTGTAATCGCCAGTCTGGAGGGTCTCGCGATACCTTTGTATTTTTGTTACTCTCATCACTTCGGGCACGCCCCCTTCCCCCACCCCTCTGACATTGCTGGGCTCTACAGAATCTGAGGTTCCCTCCATTCTCCTTGCTGTCTTCCCCATCTTCCCAGTCATCAAGGTTGTCTCTCAGCTTACGG